TTTAGGAGAGAGCTCTTGTGGAAAGGGCTCTTATAAAACTTGCCTTTCTAACTTTGGCCCCTGCAATGCCGGCCCTTATGGCTACAGCCCTTGTGGTTGCGGCCTTTATGATGTTAACCCCTTGGTATTGGCCCTGATGACTTTAGCCCTTATGGCTTCGGCCCCTCTGGTGTTAGCCCCGATGGCTTCGACCCTGATGGTGCTAGCCTTGATGACTCCAGCCCTTATGACTTCGACCCTTCTGGTGCTGGCCCCAATGGCTTCGACCCCAATGGTGCTAGCCCCAATGACTTCGGCCCTTCTAGTGCTGGCCTTAATGGCTTTGGCCTTGATGGTGCTGGTCCCAATGACTTTAGCCCTTGTGACTCCAGCCTCTCTAATGCTGGCCCTAATGGCTTCGGGTCCGATGGTGCCAGCCCCAATGACTTCGGCCCTTGTGACTCTGGCCCTTCTGGTATCGGCCCCAATGGCTTTGGCTTCGATGGTGCCAGCCCTAATGACTTTGGTCTTTATAGCTTCGGCCCCTCTAATGCCGGCCCTAATGACTTCGGCTCTTGTGGCCAAACAGGCCTGCTATTGAATTAGACCTGCCATTTATCTTTTGAGGGATGTTATAGTAGTCCTCGTTATTGATCTTTTGGTTAAAGGACACTTTAGGAGATTGCCCCCCGAGTCCATCTGTTCTCTGAAAGTGCAAGCCAATCGGAGCTTGCTCCTGTGACGATCTAGACAGCATAGCAAAGATGTTCCTTAGCCCCTCTTTTAGAGTTTGCAACAGAGCTCTTTGCCTCTCGTTAGCTTGTACTTCACGTTCTGCATATGTAGCCACATTCTCTGAATCGTAAGACTCAGGTCTATTCTTTCCAACAACGCATTAATCTTTATGTGTCCTAGACATTTCTTTCACACGAGTCCCATCGGGTGTGCCAAAAATTGTTCGTAAAAAACAAACAATTAAGGCATGGTGTCACGAGACGTGCTAGAGACACAGGGTCTCAAAAGAATGGAAGAACCTAACTTCTAATCAAATGCAGGGAACCCGAGCTCTCTTACCACAGTTCACCCGGATGTGAGAATGCGAAGTGAAGAACACTAATGTAGATGTAGAAAAGCAAAGATGTATTAATTAAAGAAAAAGGGTAGCGGGCTATGCTGGCCGTACAACGAAAAATAAAAACTAAAGCTACACGGTAAAAAGAAAAATAAAGTAACAGACGCAGAGTTTGAGACTGATAGTTTGTTGATACTGATGATGATTGTTGAGAGAGAGCTCCTCTATTTATAGATGATCCTGGCTTGGTGCCCAAGCCTCATGATTGCCACTTTCTTTGAATTTAGGAAGCACTTCCTCCATCATGTTCGCTCATCATAAGTGATGGTCTTGACTTAATAGCTAAGACTTCATAAATATTCTTTTTTTTATATAATTATTTTAAAGCCAATTAAGTTGAGTTGGACCAGGACCTCTATGTTCACAATTTGGGTGCAAACAGTATCATTTCTTTTCACTTTAGCATATGCTAGAGGGATTTGTTTGATTGCCTGGATGAATTTTTCACGGACAAACTCATTCAAATGAGAGAGATCCCATTGCCGATCAGCCGTAAGAGTAGCCACGACACTATCCAAATTAAGACTTGGATCCGCACATAATGGAGTTTTATGGCTTTTCACAGTTGGTATCGTTTTATCTTTCTAGATTTTGACAGACTTTCCGTCCCCTATCTGCCAACAAAGGTCTTTGGCCAAAAAATCTCTCCCATTCAGAATACTAGACCAGCACCATGAGGCTTTGTAGCCTTTCTTTGCTCAAAGAAAATCTGCCTTTGGGAAATATATTCCCTCAAGTATTTTAACCCACAACGCATCCGGGTTTTGGATGAGCCTCCATGCAGTTTTGGCCAAAAGAGTATCATTAAAACTCACAAAGTCCTTGAAACCCATACCTCCCTCCTTCTTATGCCTCATCAACTTGTCCCATGCCACCCAGTGAATTTTACCACTCCCCTGAGAGCCCTCCCACCAGAAATTGGAGATTAAGCTCCTTGCAAGATTTGATAGGAAACTTAAAGCAATTCATAGAAAAGATCGGGATGGCGTTAATGATTGATTTTATCATAGTTTCTCGTTCAACAAAGGATAAGCATTTATGACTTCAACTGCTCACTTTTCGACAAACTTTTTCTCGAACATAGGCAAGGGCTTGATGTTTTCTTTTACCTCATACTAGGAATTCCAAGATACTTCCCAGGAATATACATGGAATTTATTTCTAGACAACGATAGACCTCTTGTCGCATTTCTACAGGTGTACTGTAAGAGAAGTAGATACTAGACTTCTCATGGTTTGCTGTTTGCCCGAAAGCTTCACAGTACACAGGAATTATTTCAGGCAGCACTGCTACATTACCCATAGAAGCGTTAATAAAGAATAAAGCATCATCAACCAAAAAACTGTGAGTAATTTCTGGATAATTAATGGTCAATTTGATCCCTTTTAGTTGATCTGCTTCTTGATTTTTTGTAATTAAGCATGAGAGAACCTTAGCAGCAAGGATAAACAAATATGGTGATAGAGGATCACCCTGTCTTAATCCCCTACCCGGATTAGTAGAAGCAATGTTGTCACCCGAAAGACACAGATTCAGCTTAACAAATACAACACATTGCATCACAAGATTCACCCAGTGGTTTGCAAAGCCAAATTTAAATTGCATGTGTCTCAAAAAATTTCACTCAACTCTATCATATGCTTTACTCATATTCATTTTCAAAGCAAACTTGTACTTACCCCCGTCTTCTTTCTCTTTAAATAGTGATAAGCCTTCTGTGCAATAATAATATTATCATGAATAAGATGACCAAAGACAAAAGCCATTTATCACCTCTAGTGATAATATTATCACTAGAGTTGATTAGGTGTTAATTATGCAGTAGTTAGTGACCCTAATGCATGTGTATATAAAAGGTCACAATTTTGAATTAAAATGTAAAAATATTAACCTAGTCCTCACCTCATAGTTAATCTTCATTGTTAGGGTTTGTTCATCATCCAAGTTAAATGATGATTTGATTTGTAATTCTTCAAATGAAGGAATTTTGTATTTTTTTTCTAATCATTGTTGTTAATTAATGAAAGGTTTTTCCATCAATATTCTTCTCTCTCTTAGATATTTTAACATTTATTGGTTTGTGTCATTGATTTACTTTTATGATTATATATGTAAACTCATAAAATGATGAAACCCCCCAAAAAAGAATAGAATTTTTCTTAAAAAAATCACTGCTGAATCCACTCAAATGTCCCACAAAATAAAACGGAAGAATAGCGGTTAAATTTTAAAAGAGAAAATTAATTACAGTTAAATTTTTAACAAATTTTTTTTAAAAATAATTTAAATATCGATTCAAACACTTGCAAATTTAAAATGTTTAATTGTAAATATAATATTTCAATTTTAATATAATAATTGCTCCCTTTGTCGAAAAATGTAAGCTTTTTTAATCGAATTTCACCCCCCAATAAAATAATTATCTACTTTTAAACCATCATCATCTTTTTATATTTACCCCTATTAAACACTCTACAATAAATATAAAATCATTATCAATAAGGGCACTTTTTAAAAAAAGACAATGATTACACCTCAAAAAACTAAAAATGTCTTACATTTTTTAACATCTAACTCCTCAAAAAATACCTTACATTTTTTAATGGAGGGAGTAGTTTGCAATTCATATTTCTAATTATAACTATCTGAATTGATATTTATAATTTATTTTGCAGCAAATTTTATTATGAATTTAACTATCATTAATTGATCTTTTAGAACTTTTTTGTCATTCTCCCTAAAAAAAATGGCTCTAAATTCTCAAGGACTTGGCTATAAATAAATCATGATGTTTAATGTCTACAATGTACTTACGGTTAATTACAACTTTGTTACAGGTTAAGTAAAAATTCATTAAGTAGAAAGTTTTCGTTTTAGAATGATAAAGTTATACTAGCTTGAATTGACAAGAAGCAACAAGTATTGATAAGTAAAAATTTATTAAATAAAAAAAAAATTCGTTTTACATTGGACGAGTTATTGAAATTGACAGTGGCAGTAAAAATTTATCAATTTTTTTTTTCTCCAAAGTAAAAATTTATTAAGTTAAAGAATTTCATTTGAAGTTCCATAAGCTATTCATCCTCAAATTAACAACAGTATATCGGATCATGGCAACCTCTTTTATAAGAATTTTTTAAAATGGAAGAATTTGATTTTAAAATGGTAATATGTAATGACAACTAGAACTCAATAGTGATCATACAAGCTGATCTTGTCATAATCTGTTGAAGTTGTGTGAACCATGGTGCCGTGAATTCGTCGAAAATACATTCACACACTCGCGCAGGCATAGCCACATTTATTTATTAAAAAAAATAACGGAACGAAGAAACGAAAACGAAGAAAAAAAAAATGCTGTTGCAGAGCCAGACGTATCCGAGTGTGACATTTTGAAGAGTATTATTGACATTAATTTATTTTTAAAAAAAGACAGCATATTATTGAAATTCAACAATTTTTTTACCTTCATCATGAGAAACACCCTTCAAGCTTAGGCTATATCGACAGGAATTTTCACTAAATGGTAAGCTAAAAACTAAACTAGATCAAAATAAAGGAACAAATCGTCCTCCATCGCTAAATCAGGGACTCTAGTCGACTGATCAGCAGCAAACAATAATAATCCCCAGCAGCAAATATTCTTCTCAACAGCTTGGAACAACTAAATAAGTTTAGGTTTAGGGATGAAATAAAATCATACTATACTCTGTTATTGCCTAACAAGGCAGCCACCTGTCCAATGCCATAATCAATCAACAAGAACCACCTCACAAGGCTCGTCAAAAGGCCGCATCAAGCACAACATGCCCAGAAGTGACACGTATTTACCATATTATCAGTTCATGACTTGCAACTAGAAAAAGAAAAAAGAGGGACAGTGAGAGATGCAATTACCAGAGCAGAACTCAGGCAAAACACTTCTACCAATGCAAAATATAACAGAACATTCCAGGAGAGAACCGAAAATTAAAAAAAACAAAACAAAACAAAAAGACGGGATAGAATTGTCTCGGTTGAAGTTGATCACTGCGAACGCTAGTAACATAAAAGCTTATAAACGTCATTTAAAAGTAATTTAATCGACTTCCTCCATCTTGCTTCCCTCTGCATCAGCATCGGCTTCCTCCAATGGGGGCATGTCAGCATCACCATCACCGGCATCCTCGTCAATGCTCAAGCCAAGTTTAAGCATCCTGTGAATTCTGTTACCGAACGTGTTAGGATCGTCGAGGCTGAAACCAGATGTGAGGAGAGCAGTCTCAAAGAGCAACAGAACAAGGTCCTTGACAGATTTGTCATTCCTGTCAGCATCAGCACGCTTCCTCAGCTCCTCCATGATGGGATTCTCCGGGTTGATCTCCATTGTCTTCTTGCTTGACATGTAACCGGCCATGCTGTTATCTCTCAGAGCCTGTGCCTTCATGATTCTTTCCATGTTTGCTGTCCATCCGTACTCACCAGTCACCAGACAGCAGGGAGAGTCAACAACACGGTCGGACACGACCACCTTTTCAACCCTGTCACCCAAGACATCCTTCATCACCTTGCAGAGGCTATCAAATTTGTTCTTGAGCTCTTCTTTCTTCTTCTTCTCGTCTTCGCTCTCATCAAGCTTGAGACCCTCCTTGGTTGCTGAAACCAACTTCTTGCCCTCAAACTCCTTCAACTGACCTACAGCATATTCATCAATGGCATCGACCATGAAAAGCACCTCATAGCCCTTCTTCTTTAGTTTCTCCAGGAATGGAGAGTTCTCGACTGCTTTCTTGCTTTCACCGGTGATGTAGTAAATGTCGCTCTGGCCTTCTTTCATCCTGGTAACATAGTCCTTCAGGCTGGTCATCTCATCACCGCTCCTGGTGGAGTGGTATCTCAGCAATTCAGCAATCTTACCCTTGTTCTGAGAATCCTCGTGGATACCAAGCTTAAGATTCTTAGAGAAAGCCTCATAGAACTTGTTGTAGTCCTCTTTGTTCTCGGCTATTTCAAAGAAAAGCTCAATGCACTTCTTTACCAAGTTCTTGCGGATGACCTTCAGGATCTTGTTCTGCTGCAACATTTCTCGAGAGATGTTAAGGGGAAGATCCTCAGAATCTACAATACCCTTGACAAAGCCAAGGTACTCAGGGATCAACTCCTCACAGTTGTCCATGATGAAGACACGGCGAACATACAGCTTGATGTTGTTGGGTTTCTTCCTAGTATCAAAGAGATCAAATGGCGCCCTCTTGGGGACAAAGAGGATTGCCTTAAATTCCAGCTGACCCTCGACAGAGAAGTGCTTGACAGCCAAGTGGTCTTCCCAGTCGTTGGTGAGACTCTTGTAGAAAGCAGCATACTCTTCCTTTGTGATCTCTTCAGGCTTCCTCATCCAAATAGGCTTCTGCTTGTTCACCAAGGACCACTCATGTGACACCTCCTTGATCTTCTTCTTTTTCTTCTCATCCTTTTCCTTCTCCTCATCTACTTCCTCAACCTTACCCTCTTCTTCCTTCTTCTCTTCCTCGTCCTCATCATCAGAGATCTCCTTCTCCGTTGTTTTCTCAACCCAAAGAGAAATAGGGTAGCTGATGAACTCCGAGTGCTTCTTAATCAAGTCCTTAAGACGTCGTTCCTCAAGGTACTCAAGCTGATCTTCCTTAAGGAATAAAGTTATCTTAGTTCCCCTTCCAAGATTCTCACCAGATGTGTCTCTGGTGACGGTGAATGACCCACCAGCTTGTGATTCCCAAACATACTGTTCGTCATCATTGTGCTTCGAGGTAACAATGACCTTCTCAGCAACAAGATAGGCTGAGTAGAAACCAACACCAAACTGACCAATCATGCTCACATCAGCACCAGCAGCCAGAGCCTCCATGAATTCTTTGGTTCCAGACCTTGCAATGGTACCGAGGTTGTTCACCAAATCTAAAATATCAATTCACAGCGTTGATCAGAAACGATCATATACTATATCAATTATCATGTTGTCATTACGGCTACTTCCAGTACAATTCAAGAATTCTATTCATCTTACCAGCCTTAGTCATGCCAACGCCACTATCAATAATGGATAGGGTGTTGTTAGTCTTGTCTGGAACAATATGGATGAACAGCTCTGGCTGAGCATCGAGCTTGCTCTTGTCAGTCAAGCTCTCAAAACGGATCTTGTCCAAAGCCTGCAATATGGGAGACGGAATGGATACTCAGAACGTATTCACTCTTAAATAAGATAATAATTCCAGGCATTCATCATTAAAACAGATTATAATTCACGTATCGCATAACTTCAAGTTGTCTAAATTCACACAATCATCCCAAGAGAAAGAAACTAAACATCGACGCTACAATACAGGTACATGCTTCCAAGATGTTGAAAGTAAGCAAGCAAGGAAATTCCGGGGCGAAAGAAAGACCAAATTCGCATAGTCTATTTTCAGACTAACAGAAAACACTAACATCCCTATTTCATAATTAAAAACATCAAAAGTCCAAATAGCGGGTAAAGTCACTTGAAATAACACCGTGAAGTGATACTAATTTACTTCATTTCTATTTTCAATCAATAATTAAGTCGGTAAGCGATGCAGGGTGCGTAGCACAAATAATTATTCAACACATAGAACCACGATACAAGCCTCACAGTGTCTTAATCAACAAAGAACCAAGTCATATTGAAACGAGTCTAACGCACTCGATCCCCTACTGCGAACAAAACAAATTCAAATCCAACACATCCAAGCAAACATAGATCAAGCAGAAAGATCAAAGCTACAGTCTAAAAACACAGAAAAAGGGAACAAGAATGAAGATACGTACATCAGAGGCATTGCTAATAAGCTCACGAAGGAAAATCTCCTTGTTGCTGTAGAAGGTGTTGATGATGAGACTGAGAAGCTGGTTGATCTCAGCCTGGAAGGCAAACGTCTCAGTCTCCGCCATTAGCTATCTGTCTACGAGGAAGGAGAGAGATGAGAACGAGGTTTTCGGCGAAAGATCAAAAAGACCAGAGCGTCAGAGCAACAAATGAAAGTGAGCCGCAGAAGGAACCGGAACGAAGAGTTATATAGGAGAAGAAACTGGCTAGGGTTTGATATTCTAGATCCTTCGAAATTAAACTTATTATTTATAACTCAAATTATAAGACAGGCAAGTCAAGCATTGAGAGGCTCTGGGTGGGCCCACATCGCATTCTTCGGTCCCTTAACACCTTCGCGAACATTCAATTGATTTGTGTATTTATTTTTGACCGTTGGATTGCGATTTCCTCATTTCTCGGACCTTTCCTCTAAACATTGAGGAATACGTTGACCGTTAAGGGCTAAACAAAAAATTATTTAGTTTTAAAAATTTTAAAAATTTTGACAAAAAAAAATGTGCTTCCCGTCAAAAAAATATATTTTTTGAGATAAGATATTAAAAATATAAAATTTTTAAGTCTTTTAATATCTAATTAATCATATTTTTCTAAAAATACTCTTAATTAAGAGTGTAATTAATAAAAAAAATTTTAATTAAGTATATATATATATATGGAAAGAGTATATAATATTAAATATAATTAACTAATTTATTAGGAGTATGATTCGATTAAAAATTATAATATTATAATATTAAATAGAGGGAGTATTTTTGGAACAATATTTTTTTTTTGCAAACATACTTTGGATTAGTTGAGGTTTAAATTCATTAATAATAATAATAATAATAATAATCATCATCATCATCATCATCATCATCATATGCTCAAATTATACCTACAAAGAAGTGTTTTTATGAGACATTCAGAGACTACATAATAAATCAATCAAATAACTAATAAATCAAATTAGGTGGATAATATTTTTAACAATTTAAACGAGGAGGCTTTTATGTTTTAAGAGTTTACTCTTTATAAGTTAAAATTAGGTAGATAATATTTTAAGAACTTGAATGAGTAGAATTTTGTTAATTAGAACATGGAATTTTACATATTAAAAAGAAAAAAAGAACATCAATTTTTTGGGTTGAAGAGTTACGCATCAAGATTGCACAATTAACACAGTAATATCATGGAAGATTTTGATGTTATGAGAACAAATCGGATCGGATGGACCACTTTCATATCCGGTCCGATCAAAGAAGATGACCGGTAAGCCAAAAATTGGTAAAACTGTCCAGCTAGTGGTTGAATGATTGATATTTTTTCATTTAAAAATATAAAATATTTTTAATTAAATTTTACCCCTCAATAAAATAATTATTTATTTTTTAATTAATTCTATCTTTTCATATTTACTCTTATTAAATACCCTATAATAAATATAAAGTCATGATTAATAGAGACACTTTAAAAAAGATAATGATTATACCTCAAAAGATTAAAAATATTTTACATTTTTTAACATTTAATTCTTTAAAAAATGTCTTACATTTTTTAACAGAGGAAGTATATTTTAAAATTTTTTATTGTTTTTAAAATGTTGATCTTTGTTATGAAACAATAATTTATACACATTTAAATCTACTCCCTCCATTCAAAAAATATAAAATATTTTTTTAGGACTTGGATATTTAAAAATATTGTAAAACATTTTTAGTTTTTAAGATTTAATTATTATCTTTTTTTAAAGTACCTATATAAATAAATAAGTTTATATTTATTTTAAGAGTAAAACACCCTATTAAATCAGGAATAAATATGAGAAAATAGAGTTAATTTAAAAATAAATAACTATTTTATTGAGGTTAATTTAGTTAAAAATACCTTATATTTTTAATGGAAGGAGTAATAAGTATTGAAAAAGGAATAAAAGTAAACAAATATGTCATATGTGACACACACACACACACACATATGTTAAATATAAATTATTATCAATGTAAAGTAGTCTTAAACTTAAAAAATTCTTGCATGAAACATCATCTCATCTATATTTTGCCTAATAAAAATATTTCATGTTGCTCCAATTTAATTATATAAAATATTATATATTATTATTTTTAATGACTTTATTTTTTGAATAAAGTGTCTCTTTACTTTTTTTTATATTCTTTTCTATCTATCATCATCAACAGGAAAATTATTTTACATTTGCACCATTTGATATATCATGTTTTTATTGAATAGAATATAAATAATATGGTCCATTTAGTTCATGAAATAATTTATCACCAATTTTATATACTATGTAAGAGACTTTTTTCTATCTTGATTTGTTTTTAAATGTAAAATATGAATAAGTAATATATCATATATTAATTGCAACATTTCAATTATACCACTCAAAAACAAAAAAGTACCTGTTTCAACCTCAAGACAAAGGTGGTCTCGGCAATTTGGCCGACGAATCCTTAATGGCCAAGCAATTGTGTAGCGTCAATAATGTAAAGCAAAATTCTTCGCTAGCCATAACCCTTAAAGAAATAAAATACAATAAAATAAAATAATAAATATAAAAATAAGATAATGAAAATGTAAACGAGGGTAGGTGAACTTTGGGTCCGTTTAGATTTCAGTTGGGTATAATAGATTATGAAAATAATTGATTAAGTGGTAGATTTTAATCATAATTGATTATATTAGAACGCAATCTGTTTGTATGTTATTTTTCTAAAATTGATTTTAACAGAATTGAAGATGTTTGAATAATTTTTTAGAATAAATTTTAACTGTTTAAATTATCATAAAGGAAATTTCTTTTTAAAATTAAATTATTAATAAATTTGTATATAATAGTATTAAAGTTGTTACATTTTATTTAAGAAGTAAAATATATTATTGGTTTTATTTTTATTAAATTTTGGGATTTTTTTATAATTTTTTCTTGGGTCTTTGTTTGTAATTTTCTCCAATGCTTTTTGATGGATTATCACAGACGCTCCAATTGCCAACTTCTGAAAAAAATCGATTTTAACCAATAAAATCGATTACATGATTTTTACGTGTTTGGATATATTTTTGGTTAATCGATTTTAACAATAAAATAATCGATTATTTTGTCTAACCAAACGGGCACTTTATTTATGAGGGAGAAAGATAACTTATTTCGTGGGATTGTAAGCAATAATTCGTAAAATTTTTTACGAGTTTGATGATTCTTATGTTTACAGTAGATAATATTTAATTTATTTAATTTTATTATAATTTAATTTATCTTTATTTTAATATTTTCAACAACCAATCAAAACTTTAAGGTTAAATATATCAACATTAATTCCCTCTTCATAGCCAAAAATCCTTACAATTCATGCAAAGAGCTTTTTCCTCTTTTTTTTATTCGCAGATCTTATTATCTCACATTTAAGGTGGAAAGTTGGTAATGGCACCAATATCCCTCTAAAACATCCCCTATGGTTCCCTCCTTATAAGAAAATTTATCCGATTGCTCTAAATTCTACTTGTACTAAAGATCTACTTTAACTTTAGACAAATTGATGGTAGGAAACTAATAAAAGTCGAAAAAAATTTACCTCATAATTTATAAGATTACAAATTTAAATCTTGCTGCTATGTAGTAATTTTGTTGGTAAGTGACCTATAAATATTTTTGTAAATATTTTTTGAGTTTGGAAACATACTTTAATTCTAATGAATCCACAACATTCAACTTATCTGAACTTTCTTATATTAAAAAAAATGGCTGGAAAACAGTCACTACTTCACTTGAAACCAGAACCTTATTAATCACTTTATAGTGATGAGATTGCTTCTCATATTCTTAGCATGCCTCTTTCTTTCACGAGACATGAGGATAAGATCATGTGGTCTGGATCTTTTTCTGGTGAATAGTCAACCAAAGACGGTTTCAAAATACTTCCTGACAAATTGATCTTTCAGTTTACTTTTATCATTGCAGCCTATCTAGAACCTCTTATGGGAATTGAAGATTCCAATGAAATTTTTCTTGTTCACTTGGAAAACTTATTCACCTGGCGATTCCTATTGGAGACAAGCCTATTTCCTTTTGGTTGTCAACAAAATGAATCTTTTAAGTCACGTTTTTGCATTTTGCAACTATTCAAACTCTTGTTGGTTTGCAGGGCTTTCTACATAAGAACATCTGAATTCATGCAAGAAGGATTTATCTACTTCAAATATTCTGAATCAACAAGGAAATCAAGACAAAATCATCTCTCCTCTGAACTTGATTCGAAATTTGGCAGTTTGGTGGATTTCGAATTCAAGAAAAAGCTCATCTTCAAGTAGTTGCTTCACAATCACAGCTCTGATCCTCTTATTGCTGATATTTTTTGTATTATATTTCTCGCTGCTTCAAGTTTTTTCATGTTTCTGTATCCCGTGATAGTTTTTCCTTTACTAATTTCAGCTTTGTTTCTTGGATGAATCTAATTGACCTTTAATCTTTTTTACCTTGTTAATGTACATGTGTGTGTTCCTTTCCCCAAAAAAAAAAAAAATATGCCACTCAATTATAAATTTTTTTTTGTGAAACACTCAATTATAAATTTACAATAACGTTGTATGCACAAGACATTCTTTTATGTATCTATTTTTTTTTACATAGAGTTACTGTCTATGTAGTGTGTACAATTAATAAGGGTTGGATTGCAAAAAAAGACTAGTTTTTTTTTTTTTTAACTAATCGATGAACTAAAATTTGAATCTTGAGATAGGCGCAAAGAGTTTTTGTTTACAATTAAATGGGGTATTATGAAAATAAATTTTATTTGAGACAAAACTAAAAACCTTAAATATTTCTGATTGCTGACTACCTTTACCACTCCCGGTAAGTTAATTATTGTTTCTTGCACATGAGATTGGGGTGGGGTAAATATAAGGATAAATAAATATAAAAATAAATTATTCCTTTATATTAAACATTAATGCTTTACACTAATTTTTTTTTTAAAAAAAAAACTCTAAGTAGTGGTGCTTTTTTTGCTGATTTGTTAGATATTCCTGATTCATGATTTTAACAAGTAAAACAAGTGAACATAAACTATGATAAATATAGGTCAACAACTTATGATAAATGCAATAATAATAATAATAATAATAATAATAATAATAAACGAGACTTTTGGGAGAATAAT